TACAATAATATTAGTAGTTTTAGAATTTCATAATTGCTTTCAACTTGATAATTTATTGAATAACTAAATTATTGTTGATATGCCAAATTTTGCAACATTACAATTGATGTTAAATGCGTTTTCTAAAATTTAGAATTTCTGATAATTAACGGTTTTTAGCAAATGCGATCAGCGCGGACCTCACAACCTCGCTCCTTATCATCGAAACTGCTTTCCGCTCTGCTAATCTATCCAATAAAAAGGGGATAGATTTTTATTTGGTCTCGTCTCGCTCTCTCGAAACGCTTTTTGTAGCAGACAGAGTGAGTGAGAGAGAAACAGCGAAAAACGGAGAGCCACCTCTCGTTCTTATCTATTCCAAATGGCGATAACCGCGGGGCCCCCCATCACCATTTTTTGCGACCGCAAAAATTCAGTCTCCGCTGCCGGTCGACTGAAAAAAGTCCTAAAAATCCTTTTTCGGATGCGAGAGTTCGCAAGAATAAGAAAAAAAAAGTTCGATCGAGGATAAACCGGGGAAACAGAACAAAAAAAAAGTTCACGGAAGTTTCAGAGATGTCGCTTCTCATCCTGTCAAGGTAACAATACTAAAATTACTTATTTGCGATCGGTGTTAAGTAAGTTTATCTCTGCATTAGGCGAGCCTAGGTTGCGCGGATCGAAGTGCCTTAGGTCAAGAATTTCGGTTTGCAATATATCTCTTAGATTTTCTGTTACGTCGATAAAAAATCATTGATAAAAGTGAAACGCAAATATTTGGCTTATTACTACCAAAACATCGTTCGGAAAACTCGAATTTTTCTCCCTTCAGTTCACTTTGGCTTCGAACTATCGCTGAAAAAAAATGAAAGAAAACACTTAAATAAATAAATATAAAAATGGATGCTGAAATTTTGGAACGCACGATTTTTATTGGTCCAAAGCCAACTTAGTCATCGCCAATGTTTATACAAACACAACCAACTTTATCTGAGCTTTATCGAAAGAACGCCCATTTTTTTTTCTCCGATTCCCACATCCACATATTTCGGGAGTGTTGTTTTTTTCCATTCTCACCAACTGCGGTCACGTCCTCCCCTCCCGCACTCGCAGTCGTCTGCACCAATCGTCGGCCGCTATTTTTATCCAATTTTTTTCTCTACAGTTACCATCGTTTATCCGTTTTCAGTTTTCTCTCCTTTTTTTGTTTCGAAGATTTTCAGCCGCCATCTCCACTTTATTTATCTGTTATCAACCGACGGAGCGTGACATAAAAACACTTTTGCTATATATAGAAATTGTTTTCCCAGATAAAAATGGACAAACACTCTAATTAAGAGAGAGAGAAAGCGTTATTTGTTATGGAATCATTTATTTGCGAAATCGATTTTTAGTAAACAAAATGGAGCTTGAAAATCGGCAGTTTGTTTTCAGTCGATGTGCACTTTGCGCGATTCGCTCTTGTCTCGCTCATATTATTTTTTTTATCCTTTTGTATCGAGTGCGGATTATAAAAAAGTTTCTGATTCTCCAATTACCGTTTTTTTTAATGCTTCCGATTGGCACACGATCCACAATTGTACGCAGAATACAACCACAAATACTTTAATACCTAAATTATTTCAACTTTATTGGTAATCATAAATTTAATTTACAGTTAAAATAGCTATAATTAACTGGCTTTAACTTAAATTTAACCAATTTAATTTTAATTTTATTTTTTTTTCAATTTTGTCTTCATAAAATTTATATAAAAGATTTATTTAAGATTTTGAGGTTAGAAATAATTGAATAAATATTTTGTTCCTGCATTTATCACAATGAAAACAGAAATTCAATATTATAACTGAATTACTGAGATTATAAAAATAAATGAATGAATAGTTTTCATATAATCTATTTTTTTAAGTATTCCAATAAGTAAAAGTAGTTTATCATTATATTTATTATTAAGTGCGTGCTTATTACACATGCTTATTAATCAATCAATCATAATCATGTATAAAAATCTCAACAATTACCGTTTTTATTTGTATTTGATTATATATTAAAAATAATTTTTAATTAATACGATTTACAATTTTCTTCATATTATATTAATTAAAGCAATAACTGAGTTTTAGAAACAACCAATTTGTATTTTTTTTATAAAATTTAAAACTATATCTTTATAAATGTTTTTTTTGACTATTGAAATAACTATGTACAAAATTTGAACATATTTAAGTATTTTTTTTTAATTGATATTTTCGTCAATATTATCTTTGAGTATATTTTTCCTTGAATGAATTTCTTTAATAATTAGTATAATTATTATTTTATTTGCCTAAAAGCAAAAAATTTGAAATAAATTTCTCAATTTCTCAACACCAAACATTTCTTTTAAAAATTTATAAAAATATTATTTTTTCTGTTATTATATTACCACAACTGTGATGCTCTGACCTAGTCAAGATACTATCTAAATTCTAATAGTAGTAATCTTTATTACCTATTCTCTATTCAAAGGGGATATGGCACATACCTTTCAGATTAATCTAAATTCCACGTCGTAAAGACAATTTGCTCTAACATGAAATTCGATGGATTTATACAATTGCGCAAAAAGAAATTGTTTTATGAAAGAATTTGATTATGACAATAAAAATCCGATTACGTCATTTAATAGGATTTATATGTGATAAGTCATAGAATAATTGGATTTATTATAGATGATCTCACACTGATTTGTGGAATCATTATTTGAAATAGAATTTATCAATACTATTAATGAATAGTAGGTATTTTTTGTTATTATAAATAATAATTATTTGGCGGAAATAGCCCTTAGTATGTGATTGTACAATAAATTTTACTTATAATTAATAATTATATAAACGTGATTATGTCTCTAAATGATCATTTATTTAAATAATTTTAATCCCGATTTAGTTTGCAAATAAATTAAAACAATTTATTTATTTTAATTGCGTTTTAATTTCAATTAATCTACATTTTGTTATGTAATTGCAAGGGGTAAATATGAATTGTGGATATAGCAAATAATTAATCTTACGAGTGAATGATGATGAATTGTGTAGCTTGTTGTAACGAACAATATTTACCGTAAATACCGTACAGAGGTCTAATGACCTTAAGTCTATCTGCCATACTTCTTTAACAGAACTAATTTACTAACCTTGGCTGATGGACCGTAGCTAACTAACCTTTTGCAGGAAGTGAGATTTATTTCGACTCTGGTCAATTGGAATGCCGCGGTTCTATTATGTTTTGTCGGACTTTGTTCTTAGTTTAATAAAAAAATTATAATAACATTACATAAGTTATTTATTTCCTTTTTGTTAATGTAAGTATTTTCATATTTTCATTAGTTAATTATTAATTAATTTTATTGTTATTATTGTAACAAACATGAAAAATAATTACAGGATTTATATAAAACCTCGGTATGATTGTGTAAATAAACAGGTTAATTATTATTTACATAACAAGTGTAAATATTAATGAAAACCAACTAGTAATAGTTAATAATACATATAAATGATTTATTTTCTTATTTAATCTGTCATTAATTATTATTAATTGTTTTTTTTACATTAGTCTTTGATATTTAAATAAGTATTCCAATAAAATATTCAACAAAAACTTCTATTTGTTAGAAACAAATACAGGTTTAATTTGATTCTATAAATTCTTTAAAAAAAATTTAAATTTAAAAATAGATTTTTACAGAACTAATTGAAAAAAAACTTTAAAAATTTCCAGTGAATAATTTACGGAAAATAACATTGTTCATTGTTGAGTATACTGTAAATTTTTAGTCATTTATTTTAAACATTTTTTTGAAATATTGATATTAGTCGAAAAAATGTAATTGAAGTATTTAATTAAGAATTGACGAGGTTTTGAAATAAAATAAAAGTTTCTTTTGTGTTAATTATAAATTAAATTTTAATATTGGTTTAGCAATTCAATAGTTTGGAACCAATACAAGTACCTAATTAACTATTGGCTTTGAAGTGGTTTAATTAAGCGAGTGTTTGCAGGTTCAGTAAATAATGCGGGATGGATTAATTAAAGAAAGAAAAATAGTTAAAAAGAAACATAAACAAATGTGCAGACGTCAGTATATTATAAGAAATTATGTATTATTATATAAAAAGGTAATATTTTATAAAAGCTTCTTTTGTGTTAATGAAAAATTAAATTTCAATATTGGTTTAGCTATTGAATAATTCGAATCCAATACAAGTATCCAATTAACTGTAGGCTTTGAAGTGGTTTAATTAACCGATTGTTTGCAAAAGCAGCAGCATATAATGCGGGATGGACAAAATAGAGAAAGAAAATAGAGAAAAATAAAATAGAAAAATAAAAAATTAACGAACAGCCACACTAGAGAATATTATAAAGAAGAAATAATTAGAGAGCATCAGAGGCGCGTATTGTTTTCTGCCGTTTCGCCGAAAGTAATTAGTTAATTTGTGGATGGGAGCTTTGAATAATGGGGCGTAGGCGTTGGATACGCGATGAGAGCTTTTTGGAACTGTGGGCGCCATCTGTGCGGGCGGAGCGGAAACGCGGAAACACCGGAAGGACGCGCATGGCGACCGTTCCGAAAATATTCGTGCGAGCAGACGAAATCTTAATATTTACTTTTCTCCAGCAAAAAAAAAATAACATGAAAAATGTTGATAAATAAACTTTCTTTAAAAGGCGCAATCGTCAAATGTGATTCTTCTAAAATACATAATTCTTTATTTTGAATTGCGTGATTCTTTACAAAATTCTTATTTTTTCTCTTAATTCGATATTAATCGTCTCTCAAAATGTTCGACTTAAAATGCGTGATTCTTCTTAAAATTCTAGTTAAAATGCGTGAATCTTTTAAAATTCTAGTTTAAAATGCGTAATACTTCCTCTTCGCGATTCCTCTTCATCTTTAAGAAGCAACGACGACTGTTGTTGTTTGCTGCTTGAGAACCTGAATTCTATTTAGTTTTTTGCCGGAGCCAACGTTAATGGTCGCAGGTAAAGCAATGAATAAATTAGAATTGTAAGTAATTTTTTATACGGAATTAGTACCTGTCGGCACTAAACGGTCTAGGGGAACGCACATGGGCCTTAGAGCCTTCGGTACCGGTATATGCATAAGTACAAGAAAGGCAACAGCAACAGAAGGAAGAAGTACAAGAGAAAGAAGACCAACGTAGCTTCTTTCACTGCATATATACACAATATTATATTTTTTTTTCGTACTTGTTCTTCACGTCTCGCATTCAACTTCCCCTCTTTGAGGAAGAAGAACGTTATGCAAATTCCTGCGACACATACATCTAAGGGCATGTAAGACAGTTGAGTCGGAATCTGAATTTTAAATATTTATCCATTAGTTATTTTGCTGCTCGCAAAGTCGAGGGCTCCGGTATATACATATATATTTTTTTCCTTTTCTTACAGTCCAGATGCATTTGTGTGGGCGATGGGAATCTAAATTGCGTGTGTGCAAGGGCCATTCCTTCTCTCTTTCTTCTACTACTCGTTCCATTTTTTTGTTTCTTTCGTCCTTCTTTTCGTTCCCTTTTTCGCATGCCGTTTAGATATGCGGCGGCGATAGGGCGCAGCGCGTTTTAAAATTCGCCCTAATGGCTCACTTCCTATACACTGCATCGTGTGTTTAAAATGGCATTAAATCGCAATCCATTAAACCGCAACGTGCAATTGTGTTTTGCATTTTCCTAGATACCTACACTTTTTATTTGCTTTTTAGTTTTTTTTTTAATTTCTGATTCATTTTCCGAGTAGGAAAAGAAGGAAACGCTAACTGAGGCTTCAGTAGATCATCCAGATGCATTTGTTTTGCATTATTGCTGTTTTCTTATTTTTTACTCCTTATTTTGTGTTTCATTATTCCCAATGGGAAAAGGAGCGCAGCAGAGGCATGGTGCCTATCAGTAGGTCATCCCACCCCGATGGATGGAGAGAAAAAAAATGGGCGTGCGAACGCGGATCCACCCCCGTGTGCCAAAGGGCCGTTCTTCAACTTTCTTTCACTCCCTCTTTTTTTTCGTTCCATTCTCTTTTGTTGTGTTCAACCGTTTACTTCTTTTTTTCTACTGCTGCGAATTACATAAAGTTGGCAAAAGTTGAACCGTGTATGAGGACTAAAAATATTGCCGGGAACGATGCCAATAAGTGTTTCCACTCTCCATCTCTTTCTCTTGCGCTTAGAACGTCTCTGGTTCAATGTAAAGAACACTAGAAGACACCTCAGCGTTGTCAGCAAAAAAACATAGTTAAAGAATCATATCGATACGTTACTCTGCTCATGCATAGCGTCCAGGAATAATTATGATCTACTTTGGACTCACACTATGTTATAAATATAATAATATTGGATGTAAAGTAACTTTTGGTCATTGCCCCATAAGTAACATTATTTTTATATGTTTAGAATAAAGGCAACATAAAAAAACAAGAAATTGTTTTCACTTTCTCCAGATATACTAAATTATAATTCCTCTAACATAATAGTATCCAATATCAATCGATGTTGGTATAGTTTAAATTGTAATATTTCTTGAGCATATTTAATTGAATATAAGTAATAATCGTGACTATTTTACTAATTAGTAGTTACGTAATACTAATTGATTCATTTCATGTAGAGATGTTCAAGGATTTTGACTTAATATATATTTATTATAATTTCTAATTAAAAGTAAATATAATTAATAATTAATAAGTAATGTTATATTTATTATTTTAAAAGTAATTGCAAATGATTCATATTTTATAGAGAAATTCATGTATTATTTTGAATTTACTTTAAATTGCATTTACTAACATTAACTTCAATTATATTGAGGAAATTAAATTTGAATCTATTATATAAATCATTTCTTGAGTTAAAGAATCAAAGATTGCATTTTCCGTTTGTTATTGCTTTTGTAATCAATGATGAACATATTAAGAAACTTTCTCTTTATAACCACAATTCAATAAGCGTTTACGAAATATCAGCCCAATGATAATGCTTTCTTGCTCAATAACATTATGAGTTGTAAATAGAAATAATTTAACAATATGAGCAAAATAATTAAAAGAGAAATTATTTAAAACAATATTTACTTTGCAGACTCTCTGCCAATCTCGATATTTTCTTACTGTTTCAATTTATTTGTATTTAGATAAACATTCAATTGGATTTCGAACTTAAAAAGATATATGCAGTAAATTTTTGAGTTCAGAAAACAATTAAGAATGTTTTCTACTTTATTAATGAAGACGTTTTTCTCTAAATAATCTTAATTCAATATATTTGCAATATTTAATGTTAAGAAGTCATTATGTTAATAGATATACAACATATTTCTTTAGAAAATGTTGTCAATTTAGAAACAAAAGACTATCGACCTCCAAATTAAAATTGTTAATTTTTCTTAGTATTGTGGTGAACTTTTTGCTGCGTCAAATCAATGAGGTTAATTAATATTAGTCAGTAATAACAAAAAAAACAGTATTTGTTTAGTGGTTTCTGAAATAATTGAATAACGATCACTAAATTACGTATATATTACATATCCAAGGCGAATGCCATTAGGAAATATTCTAAATGAACTGATTATGTACATTGAAAACTATGAAATTGAGTCTTTGACTGTGTAGCACCACTGTTTGATTTGAGGGATTCACTGGAGAAAAAGCGAAACGAACAAACAAAAACAAAAAAAGCTCTCACCGTCGATGCAAAGTGAATTGAATAACATTGCACTCTTGATGGAAACGCGAAAACAATTCAGCCGTTATGACTATTATCTTTGTTTTCTCTCATATTTTGCCGTCGTGTTTTATTTATGTTTTCCTTTTTTTAAGTCGTTTGTTTTTCTGTACATCTCTATTTTCTTGGTGGTCGGTAAAAGCTGTGTACGGCCGTAGACAATGCGTGCGATGGCAGAACGTCAAGTGATAACGCTTGAACGGGGTGGCAAAGAAGGGATGAAAAGAGAGTGAGAGAGAGTGGTGGTGAGCTTGCGACCGTCGCGACGGAGCCGATGTGTATGAATGAATGAAAGAGCCCCCACACAGCACACACATTCGGAGCTTTCCTTTCCACTCTTCTTTTTTCCTCCCTCCGTCGTGTTCTGTTGCCACTACAAAAACTTGGCCGCGTGGAAAGGGCACAAGGGTGCTACGATCCGGCGGCGGGTGGGGGTTTCCGTAGGTTCTGGGGTAAGAGCTTCTACGTGTGGGACGGTCTCTTCCCCTCCGTGGTGGGGGTCGAAGAAGGCAGTGAAAAAAGCTGCAAAGGAGTGCTTTTTTCGGAGCGGTGGTGGGGATGCGTGCATGTGTGTGTATTTGTACGTGCGTGTGCATGTGTGTGCGAAGGTCCTGGAGCATACATATACACACTCCTTACGTTATTCTCCCCTAGTTGGGCGCACGCGCGGCACTAAGATACAATTCTAAGGTTCGGCTGTCGCACTCCCACTCGCATCCCTTACCGTCTGCCGTCTCACGCGGCAACCCTTCCGCGACTATTTCCGTCCCTTACGCGCGCACACGCTACCCATGGCTCCCTCTCGCTCGTTCCTTGCGCTTGTTTTTCGACGGTCTCGCTCGCACCCGTCGCCCTTGCATATGTCCGTCTCGGTTCGCCCGTTTCTACCCTCGTTTTCTTAGTTTGAAGGCGTCGTTTTCAGACGCTGGTCGTCTTTTCCAGACGCCGACGCTTTTCTTAGTTATCTGCCGACTTTCTTATCGCATAGACGCGCCGCGACGCCGGACGTTATTCCAACTTACACCCGAAAACGTGCAGCAACACTCCGGTACACACCAACCACCACCAACATCCAAACGCAACAACCAAACAACAATACAAAGATTAAAGGAAATTTTTGTTTTTGCCGTACCGAGACGGGCATCGTATTCCACACGAATTTTCTTTGAATTTCCGCCGAAATTTCCACCAAAAATCTGTGCTATTTCGCTATCTCGTTCCGCCGGTGGAACGAAATCATCAAACGCTAGTGAGAATATATTTTGTTGGAGTTTTCCTCGCCACGTGACTGAAAATTTTCTAAGTGCAGTGAGAGACGACGGGTCCTGTTTATTTACGCATTTTTTCGCCGGCGAAAATTTTTGTTTGTTCAGTGCTTTCCTATCAGAGATTACTAATTTTCTTGTGCAATAATCTCCATACACGCAGTGAGTAACTCTTTTTTGGTTCATCTCAAAAAGTCAGGAATAAAAACCGCGTGCGCTCCGCATATTTTTTACCGTCGAAACGTGAACAAACTAATTCACCCAAAAACATCCATCAAAATCAAATACCTTACAATCCTAACAAGAAATAAATAAAACAAAAATTTGCATCCAACTAAAATTATCATCTTATAGCAAATAAAATCATTGAAACAGAATTTTCGTGAATCAAAACACTAAACAAAATTATCTTACATTTTTCACAATTTATGAATACAAATGTTCCATGTATCAAAACACCCAATAATATCTGATATTAAAATCTTAAAAATAAATTTACTTTCAATAAATAATAATGTTAAAGAAAATTACCAAAACTCCAAGTTAAAATAAGTTTCCTTAAATTAAATTTGTGAGTTAGAAGAAAATTGGTAATAATTTAATACACTTATATTTTGTAAATTCAGTATATTCAGTATATTTAAAACTCTTCTAATGCACAAGTATATTATATGTAATTTTCTTACAATTATTAGAAATTACATACCCAGAACGGGAAATGTATTCAAATAATTTTAGTCCAAACTCAACTCTGATATACATTTTAAATAACTTTAGTCTATCAATTTAAATAGTTTTTAATATCAACCTTGGTTTCCTGTTTACTTCAGAAAAATAACTTTATTTTAGAGTAAAATTTAATTTTGTAAATATTAAAATAATTAATATTTAATGTCTGATTCAGAATATTATTAATAAAATATTTAGTATATTATTAAGAAAATACATTTTGTGAATTAAATAGTTTGAATTGAGAATTTTTTCGCTGAAAACTTAGTTTTGTAAATAGTAGGTTCAAGTAAATTTGTGAAAAAGATTGCGAAATAATTATAATATTAGTTTTGAAAATAGATATGTTTCTGTAAAGTTTATTTTGAGAATTAAAATATATTAAACACAATAAATTCGCAACTGAGATTTATTTTTAATTTTAATCATTCCGCAAGCACTTTCGGTTAAAGTTAAATAATGTTCAGAAATAAGTTTTTTTTTACGTTTCTTTATTTTATTCTTTTTTACCACTTGCGATGTTTGAGAAAAGATGTGCGAGCGGGCAGAAATTTTCCGAAAATTCTTTTAATAGCGTGGAAAAATAATTTTCCCGATGCGATGCCAAGATTTTTTCCCGATTTCGTCGGCGCAGAAAATAACGCGGTTTTAAAGAGAGAGATTTTTCTTCGCACCAACGCAAATAAATAGAGTATTGGAAATAGAAGAAAAAATGGTTTTTAAAAGTTAAAAAAAAAAATTATTAATTTTTTTCTTGAAGAGAACATTTAAAGTGTATAAGTTATTTATTAAATTACTTGAGATTTTTGTATAGTATTACCTCAACTTTTTTCTTGTAGTAAATATTGTAGATTGTGTTTAAGGGATTTATTAAATTATTTTTGTTTGAATGGAAAAGGTTTGAAATAATTTTAGTTTTCATTGAAATTGAAAATTGGTGTTGTATCTAAATGATTTATTTAGAAATATAGTTTTATTGAAATAAAAGACGTTTTAAATATTTTCTGTATAGTTTTCATGTACGTTTTTTTTCTTAATATGAAAATTAGTTAATAAGAAAAATATTTATGCAACTTATATGAATTTATATGAGGTATGAAAAAACGTAATAATAATGTAGCCAAAGTATTAAATTGTATTATATCTAATTTATTAAATTATTTTGTTGGAATAAAATGGTAAATTTGGTTGAATTTATTTGAGGTGAATAAGAAGTTATAAAATGTATGTTTTATGTAATTGCGATGGAATCGATAGAACTATGGCTGCGGGTAGAAAGATAATGGTTGAGAAAAAAGCGGAGTATTGTTGATTGCAAAAGTGGTTAAAAAAATCAATCTATCGATTTTGAGTTAAATTTTTAATAGGCGAAGGAAAAATGCTGGGAGCTTCGGTCGCATTCGCTAATCATTGATAATGAAGGTGGTGTATTTCAACGTTTCGTTTGTTTTTCTGCTTTCAGACTGACTATTAAGAAACTTCGCGACGAGGCCTAAAGGATCAACTGTCCGAAGTGTCCGTTGTCGTGATAGAAGGAGAAGAAGAAAGTGCAATAACGGAGATCGATATACGTTGGCAATAACAACAGAAAATCTGAGCCACTGTATTCCAGTGGCCCGGGAGAGATAACTCGTTCAGTAAATCGTCTAAGATTTTAACCACGGAGGACCAGGGGATCCTGAACAATCTGAAAGTCGAACATGAAAACCTAGTAGCCAAGTGGCTCCAGAACTCGTTCAAGATCCAAGAAAACGCAGCCCTGGATCTCCGAGCGACACCACTCTCCCTCCAAATCCCGATGGCCGAGGTGAATAATCGGCCAGTCTTCAAGATGAACAACGACTTCTGGAACCAGGCGCGCGGACCTCCGCAGAGCATGGCCCAGAACCTGTCGAATTCCAACCAGAACTCTCCGGTACCGGGGTCCACAAACTCGATACCGGCCCATTCGCCCTCTCAGCAGAGCAACAGCAGCCAGCAGAACAACCATGTGATCACACAAGGAGCTCTTGCTCTGCAGCAGCAGCAGCAGCAGCAACAGCAACAACAACAGCAGCAACAGCAGCACAACCAGAGCATACAGCAAAACCAGAGCATACAGCAGAACCAGAGCATACAGCAGAACAACCAGCAGGCGCACAGCCAATCCAGCCAACCAACGACGCCAGTTAACAACCAAATGAACCAGAACAATGTGCAACAGCAGCAGCAGCAACAACAACAACAGCAGCAACAGAACAACCAGCAGCCGCCAAACACACCTCAACTCGGTAGTCCGAATCCTCACAGTCAGCAAGCTCATGCTCATGCCGCCCTTCAAGCACAGCAGCAGCTCGCACAAATGACCCAACAACAGCCGCAACTGTCCAGCGGACAAAATTCCCCCGACAAGATGACAGAGAAATTTGTCAATGAACTCCAAGTAAGTTGCTCCACATTTTCCCAAAGAACTACATTCTTAAATCACTTCGCAATACTTACCAATTAACATGCAATAAAGAGCAAAAATTTCTTGATAAGTATCGCGTGATGATTAACCATATTTGTTCTCTTTTTTTTTTAATTATATAATTTCAACCCCCGAAACCAACCCGAAAACACCTACACGCAACCACCGAGAGACTCGCAGACCTAATGATTATTTTTTAGACCCAAAGACCAGGAAGAATAAATAACAATGAAGCTTCGAGGACAACTCGAAACGCTATGACTTCGGAAGAAGCAAACTTTATGACCGAGGGTGTCAATAGTAAAAATTATATAAATTGGCGAAAAGAAAGCAGGATCTTTTTTTCTTGTTATCACTATCCATTTCCGTTTTCGATTTAGAATCGAAACAAGATAATCGCTCACTTCCTCCGCTTCGGCTGTATGCACTATTTTTTTCTCCCCGTAACCGTAGCCGTTGGGCAAAATTGAAATTCAGAATCGGAATAATTGGATCGTGTGGCTTTCAATCTGCAATCAATGCGAAAAGCCCACAGCTGGAGAAATATATATATATATTCATATAGATATATATATATATATAGTATTAGCTTGAGTTTAGCATATTATTAATAAATTATTGTCCAACGCGCTAATTACTGGCCTCTTCGATGGAGAGAAACAGTGTGTATCGTGACTCACATCCAGATTTGTTTACTAATGCATATCATAAGCCCCGACGTTTCTCACGACCAATATTTCTGCTCCGAACGAGAGGATTAAATAAAGTTGATAGTTTTATTCTCTGCCTACTCAATTAATTAGTAGCCGTAGCCCCAATTTGATGAAAAATTCAATTACGGATTGAACTAGTTTCAGTTTTGTATGAGTGTGTACACTCTCTTTTTTTTCTCCTCTTCGAACATATGTTCTTGGCGGCAGGCAGATGCATTCCACTTTAGGAGCGCATTGTCTACCTACCCTCCATGATATTATGCGGCTCTTGCATAACTGTTATTACCCAACAAGTTTATTTTTTGTTTGTTGTTGCTGCTGCTTTCGATTTGATCGCACATTTCGAAATGATTCAATTTTTAAGAGGAAGCGCGCGAAACGTTCGATAGGCGCCGGTTCCTTGACTTGACGTCGCGGCGCTCCCGCCTTCTTCGAGATGGTCCTGTGGCGCCCCCTAGCCGCAATTTGCCCAATTTTTTTCGCAACCCTTCCATTCAAAGTTTTTGTCTTTTTTTTTAATATTTTATTTCTTTTAAATTGCATTCGCATAAGAAATTAAGCATTTTCTTAATTCACAATTAAGAAGTTTGTTGCAAATTCTGTTAGGAACGTGGCAAAAGAGCGACGTGTTGTCTTCGCCACGAGACGCGACAACTTGTTGATGCTGCGTGGTCTAAAAAAATCCCCGTCATCGCCACCCTCCAACGGAGAGAGAAAAAGCGCGCTTGCCGAGGTGATTAGCAAAATAGAAATAAAGCAATGGAAAGTTTGCGAAGCGCCGAGGGTAGAGTTACATAATGCGGAATAATTGGCTCGCAAATTTTATTTAGAGACCACACACATACGCGCGTGGAACAATTGAAAAGTTTTCATCGTTCTCTCTTCTATTTTTTTTATTATAGTTCTCGTACCTCTCGACATTTTTCGTTTCCAAAAAAGAGCTTTACACAAAAAAAATAAAAGTAAAGTTAAAAAAATAAAGCGGCAATGCGAAAAAGCGCATTAAAACTATCCCTCTGACGAAAGGGGGGAAAAAGTTTAAATTTAATCACCGCCAGTTTGTGTTTCCAAAATGTTTTCAACGTTTACCTGAAAAAAAGTAATGAAACATTAACAGCGGAAAATTAACAGTTTAAATAAAAACATAGAAGGAAATTAGAAAAACCTATGTTTCTTAGATTTTATAATATATCAATTTTCATTATTTACTAATAATTACTTAATGAAGTAGAATTAATTACTTTTATGCAAATAAATTCATAATTTAACAATTTAAAAAAATTGTTAAATATTAAAACATTAAACCCACAACAAAAATCCATCCTTTCTTCACCAACAATTAAACATATATATTTTATCTATTTACTACTATTGATTTTTCGTTACTTTATTACTTTTTTACATCCTCCCACCTGAAAACTCTTCTTTTTATTTATTTTTTATTGTTTCTTTTTTGTGTTTTTGTTTCTTTCAGTTTGCTATTGTTTTCTGAATGTTGTCTGTTAATTAATTGTATACTAAACTTGTACGTTTGTGTCTTTTGTCCCAACTAACGCTGCCGGACTTTAACCAGCTGCAACGGAACTCTTCGGCGATATCTGAAAGGACGCTCGAGGAATGCTGGACGACCCTCCAACGTGTGAGTTGGCTTCTGTTCGACCGTGTAGAGTATACTTCCAAAAAACGAACAAAAAAAAATCGAAAAAAAAAAAACGAAAAAAAGATGATCATTTTGAGAAAGAAACCCTGCACATGCTAGATAGAATCAATTCCAATCATGTTTGCCTGTGAAAATATGTTTTCTTTTGAATGAGATGCATCCAAATCATTACTATTTTGATTTATGAATATCAAACAAATTAAACGCCTTGATTTTTTATTTATTTATTTTCTTATTGAAAAGAGTACATTAATTATATAGTAAAAAAAAATCTGTTCAAAAAATATGAAAAATAATTCAAATAGAAATTGTCAAACTTGACAACGCATTTTACATACAACATTAATGTTAAAATATTAACAAAAACTAATAATCAAATCAAAATAATATTATTTTGGTCGCATTAATTTTTACATTTGCATGAATTTTGAGTCTTGAATACTTCTTTACTTTTTTTGTTGTTGTCGTACTGTGGTAATATTTCTTTTCGTTTCTCGATTGTTTCCATAGATTTTTATGTTTGTTATGCATTATTTTCTCAGTGTGTCCGCTTTTTCTTTACTTTTTGTCTATTTGTTGTTCTATGTGTGTCTTTCTTACTTAAGCGTCGCATCTTTGACATTGATATTTTCTGGGGTATTGGAAATAGCATGTCAAAACAAAAAAAAATCTTTGAAAATATGAGAGAAATACTTGAGCGAAAACTTTGAAAGCGAGAATCTTTAATTGGTGAGTATCTATGTTAAGTAACACGAAACACGAACACTTAAGATACACATATTTTTGTTGTTGTTATTTCTTTGAATGAAACGCAGGAATTATTCGATTGTTTTTTTTTTGGGGGGTTTGAATTGTGTATGTGGAGGAATAAAGGGAAAAACTCGTTTTAGGAATCGAGCACTAAATACAAAATGGTACCGTGAGGTACGCGTCTCCCGCACGCACCCAAAGCACACGCGATTTTGCGCCCCCGCCCCTACATCTCGCCATTCATCTTATCGTTTCCACGATATCCCCCATTTTTTTCTATGTCTCTCTCTCTCTTCCCCTTTGGATTTAAACAGCCACCCCCCGTTTTTCGATTTCGCCCCATTTTTTTACCGCTTCAATCTCGTCCTTTCGGTTACGGGTTACGTAACACTGAATGGAAATAGGAGGCATCACGCGAAACTCCGCTTCCATTGTCTGCGAGAAGAAAAGAAGTTGCAAAAAAAAAATCTAAGTGCAACCCAAGAGGTGCTGACAAAGCATGCACCAAAAAAATATAATTTGGGCTTATATGAATATCAACGGCTATGACAATAATTAAATTGTAATTAAAAAAAATAAGCATTCACACGGTTTCGAAGGAAGGGGACCACGGGGAGGCAACCCCTTTTCTGCGGCGCGATTGTTTCAGGTGAAGGAACAAAAAAAGGATGTGAGGATGCAGAGGAGAGAATCAGGTAGAGAGAGGCGAGAAACTTGTTCTCGCTGGCTTCGAAGACCGGAACCCGGAAGCTCCCACGAAAAAAATCACGCACAATAAGGGCGCAATCAACGGTCGTTGTCCTGCATCTATTTGGATACAAATTTTTTACACTCTTCTTATTTTCATTCCTAATTGCGAAGGGTGCCAAATCGCTGTTTGCCTTACGCGCTTTTTCATTAATAACTTCTATATGTTTTTGATATTACGATTTGATTTAGAGGTCCACTCGAGACGCGAAGCTCCGTCGTCGGGTGTGCGTGCACTTATTTAATAATTTTTTTTGCGCCATTTTTTTCACCCCCTGGGGGGTTCCCCCAATCGCGGCCATTGGTAGGCCCAACCTAAAACTAATAACTGACGCACAATGCATGCAGCGTTTAATATAATGATCGGGAGGGTGTAAGAAACAAAACGGACCAACCGAATGTGAAAAAAAAATGAAGTATGAATGAGGAGATGGATTTTGGACTCTTTTTTTCTACTCTATTCGGTATTGTTTCTGGGTCGCTCCCCCTCGTTCGATTCTAATAATGTACTACACGCACGATGATGTTGATGATGATGACGATGATTAAGCATTGAGATTCATTTATATTCATTTCGGTATATTCATTGGAGGAGAGCAACAAAAAAATATTTTGAAGAGAGTATTGAATACGTAATTTTTTTGCTTCTCCGACAATGAGTTTCTAATTTTTTTTTTAGTTGGATGATATAATTGAAAAAATATATATTATTAATTTCTACCACCTCCATAATTATAACCGTAATATTTTCTAAATTTAAAAATAATGTTAATAATTTATTTTGGAATAATTAATACATGTTACTTATTTGCATCTATATTCAAGAAGGAAATGGTATCTATCCACAGTAGTTTACTTACAATTCCAAGTATTAAATGACAATATAATAACAATGAAAGAATACATAAATGAACTCCAACCATAATTGCACGTTAATACCGAAATGCATAGTTGCGTACGAATAAAAATGCAATTAGTTTTGAAGGCATACAATTACCGGTAATGATAAAAATTAAAATAATTACATTGATATTTCTTTCAACTAGGCGTAGCGATTTACATCATATTCTTACGGCGCGCTTCTTCTACTTCTTCCACGGCTTCAGATATTTTCCGATTCAATCCTCAATCTGTTTCGCTTCTGTTTTTCTGTTACTTCTTTCACTATATTTGAACTGTTTGCTCTCCGCCTTTTATTGTTCCACTGCTCTCCATTGAAATTAACATATTTTCTTGCATTTTCATACGACCAGAAGGTCGACGTACTCTCCTGAATTTCGCAATACGCAACGCGTTTTTCTCGTTTCACTTTAACAATAAGAGAGAAAAAAAATACAACGATATACATTTTATTCCACCAATTTATAACAAATTATTACTTACTTACAGTTGAATTACTAAAATTATTGAATAATTATTATTTCTAATAAATATTTAAGAAGTAAAAATAATAATACCATAATAGGTGTGTAATTACGGAGTTAAATTTAAAAAGCAAATCCGCTTAAAATCAGTTTGGAACTTTTGCTGGATAAAATTGTAAGCTGCAAAAAATCGTGCATACGTTATATAATAAAAAAAAACAATGAAAGCTGCACCTAATTTCGCAGGGCAAGATGATTATCATCATCGCTTGTTTCGTTCTGCTTGTTTTCTCTGTTTATTTTTTTTAGTTTACCAACTATTCTTTGCTTCGGATAAAAGCTTTTGAATTTGCGCGCCTCGAAAGCTCGTTCGTTCGCATTTTGCTTTAATTAATTATAAATCGTGTGGCCTTTTTTTCGACAGCATTTTGCGAACGCAGTTTATTCATTAATTATAATTATCGAATTAAAAAATATTATTTAGAAATACAAATTTTTACTATGAACTTTATTGAAAAGATTCCTTGTAAACATTTGTGATTGTGAGAATTTTTAGTAATCTATTAAAGTAGTAATTTGATAGAGTTTGAAAAAGAATAATGGATAGACTTGTTTTGACTTTTGCAATAATTATATGAGAATCTTTTAATGTAATTATAAATAAGTAAATTTATTGCAGTTTTATGAACGTAAGTAATTCATGGAAGATAGTATTGAAAATATGAAACTAACGTTAAGTTATAAGTAAGAATGGTATAGGAAATAGATGTTAAGATCTTGTAAGAAAAGGGATCTGCTTACGGTGCACGGAATTGAAACAAGAAGCGAAGAAAGAAGAAAGTCTTTTCTTCTTTCCCATCTCATTATTACGTATGCGTGAGCCCTTTTTTTCTCTACCCGGATTTAATTTCACATATATGTATGTATACGCTTTTCGTTTGGCGCGCATCGAGGATCCATGGTGAACAGAGTGCGTCCTTTTTTCCCGCCGAGGCTGTTACACCTCTTATACTCTCCTATACTCATTTATTTTTTCCGCTCATCTCGTTTTTCCTTCCTTTTGTTAACCGGTTTTTTTAATACGCGAGACCGCGGAGGGAAGAGCAGAGGCCGGAGAGGAATGAGAGAGGTCTCCTTCCTCCGCGGACAACAACAACGAAGACGGCGACGGCGGAGGATCGCAACTTATTTTACATTGTGCGGGTCAGTCCTCGTTGCACGGCTCTTTCTCCTCCTCCTCAACCTCATCCATCCAACCATCCTCTTCTTCTTCTTTTTCTACAGATTTTTATGTTTGTTTTTGGTTTCGTTCGGCGATGCAATCCGTGCATTTTTACTCTTAACAGTCCTTTCTCCGGATCTACGAAGTCTCTTTACAAGCGAATTTCGAACACGATTCATAACCACATATGAACAAATTAATTTACTTTTGGTAAAATAATGATTTCAGAGAGTTTCATCTTTGATTATTTGACTAATTCTTTACTGAACATTTTTTGTATTCCTTTTCAATTCATTTATTTGTTTCTTTTAATGCACATTTATTTCCCCGAATCTTTGAAATCTTTTATTTTTATTATGATCCATAACCACATATGAATTCCATACATTCGAGCATCTTCAATTTTAAGGCTTTAAATCGCTTTATCCGGTTTACCAATTCTTTAACTGCATGACATTTTTGCGTTCTCTCTCTTCCTTTTTTTTTCATTAATGCATGTGCGTGTGCACTGACCTTCGAAAAAAGTGGCACTTGTCGCACTTTGCGGTTTTATCAGCCGGAATAATAGCAACGAACAACAACAGCCGGAGTTTACTCCTCCGCGCACATTAAACTTTCACGGCTGTTATTAACATATTTATCAATCCGCATTCGATTTCCCTTGATTTCCTCATTATACGAAATGCTTAATTTTCTTTCAACCTTCTCCACCTCTTATTCTTGTTGTTTACCGTTTTTAATTTCCGCGTTCCGAAAGAGTTGCGGCGCAGAAAAGGCGACCGGGGTTGTTCGTTGAAAAATGCGGGGGTGGCGCGAGCTTTTCCGTTTCCCGTAATATTTCACCCTCCCGCGAACCGCACGCGGATCAACACGTTGAGATCTAAGAAAATTCGGGGGGTGGAAGAATGAGAAGAGATGAGAAAAGAAAAGGAGTAAGCATCCCCGTGTGGAAATTAAATCTGCCAGCGGTGATTTAGTGGGCGATTAAATAAAAAAAAATATGAACGAAAAAGTGTCGGAGGGAATAAAACGTTGAAATAAAGTTAAGAGAAGAGACAAACGGCGGGATGGATGCACTTCGATAAATAACGGTTTGACCCAAAACAAGCCCATGG